ACAACCAATTTACTACATTGCGGATTTTATTTTATTCTTTTTTAAAAAAGCACTTTGCTCCTTATCCTACTCAACTTTTGAATTTTCAGATTCCAATTCAACTTTATATTGAAACTTTCACCTTGCTAAATCTACTTCTCATCATGAGAACCTAAGTATGAAGCATCAGGCTCTATTTCCTTCAGTGAAGCTAATGCACAACTGAGAAGGAGTCCTATAAAGAGTTATAAGGCTCTGTTGTAGGAACAAATTTTCCTACAAAGATTAAGAACATAGAATGATTCGAACTTTAAAACATTCAAAAATTTGAATCGTATTTAGATTCTTAAGAATTTTTCTCTCACAAATGGAAACATCAATTCTTTATTAACTTTTTAATAAGGCTTAATCAGATTTCATTTTACCACTGATTTTTCCTAGTTCATTTGTCTATGACAGCGGTTCTCAACCTATGGGTCGTGACCCCATTTGGGGTCGATCGACCATTTCACGGGGGTTGCCAAGCAAGGCTGTCTGCCATTTTTTTCCCCTTTTCCGGCGGGTGCCTTACCTCCCTGGAGCTGGGCCAGCTGGTGGTCGGCCTGCTCCGTCTCTGCCGCTTGCCAGCTACGCCTCGGCCGGCGCAGGGGGCAGAACCATGCATGCGCGGCGCTCCCGGGCAGGGAAAGTCCTCGACTTACGACCAGTTGGGTAGTCCTCGACTTACGACCGGTTTAGTCCTCGACTTACGACCGGTTTAGTCCTCGACTTACGACCGGTTTAGTCCTCAACTTACGACCGGTTGGGGGTCGCGGCATTAAAAAGGTTGAGAACCACTGGTCTATGAAAACTGGCCCCTGAGTAGTTACAAGCTAACTATATTACATTTCTTATATTTATAGACTGCTAAACCCCTAGGGACTCTCAATAGTTTATAGAGAAGATATACAAGAAACAAAACATATACAAAACTATAGTACAGAAATTAATGAAAATATGAAACAAAAAAAAATAAACCAAAACCATCTATAACCAAAGCAAGATGGAGTAAAGGCCTAAATGGCTTCTCTAAGACCTATGTTTTGAACATAACAGGATGGGAGCCAGTTGAATGTTCATTACAAGGTTCTTCCCAAAAGCTTGGTGCAACAACTGATAAGCAGCTGTGGCTAGACTCCCCTCCCTTTTACCCCCCTAAAATGGGGCACCCACTAATAGTTTCTCCCAGGTAGATTGACCATGCCAATTCCAATAGGAGAATGTGACTTTGCAGATAATTAGGCACAACACTTTGTAAGACTTTATATACAGAACTTTAAATTGCATCTATGACCCTACACTATTGGCAAGTAGTCAATAATTGACAACTATATTGGCAACCACATTACAGCATTGCTGTGTTCTGGAGAATGTTCATCACACAAGTTGTGCTCTGAACCAACTGCAGCTTCCATATGATCTTGAAAAGCTGTCCCACATACAGTATAGCATGTTGCAGTAGTCTAAGCAGGTGGTAATGAAGGCAGCAAGATTCTCCTACTCAGGTTAGGATTGCAACTGGATATCAATGAGGATGCAAAAAAAACCTTCCTTGACCACAACCTCCATGTGCTGCTGCAACAAAAGTAGTCAGTCTAGAAAAACCCACACATCACAGGCTTGCTTCTTCAGGAGTAAGGCCATCTCATCAAGAGACACCACTGGAGCAAGCACAGAATTCAGATGGGCAAATAAGCAACTCTTTTTACTAGAATTCCATTTAAGTTAGTTCTCGCCCATCCAGGACTTAAGCCTCCAGTCACTTGGACAGGACTCCAACTGCATTTCCTGTCTGGCCTGGGGAACATAGTTAACCCCAAACATTTGGATTACTTCTTCTGGTGGTTTAATGTAAATGGTAAACAGCCAGGAGCAAAGAACTGACTCTTGTAGAATCCAGAAAGGAAAAGCCGTCAAGCCAATTTCTCCTGCCTCACAACCACCAACCAGTGAAGTGAACCGTGCAACACATATGCACGCACACACACACACACATGCACACACACACACATGCACACACACACACACACACATTTATCAAAACCTGGAACTAATACTCTACATTAAAATGTAATAGAATGGAATGGTGTTTCACTCTTAAGTAGTCTGAAAGATGTCTTCATCCAAACTAAACTTAATTATATGCATATTCAACCATATTGCTATGCAGATACATCTCAGGACTGATATTATATTAAGAACAACATCCAAAACTTGTTTGTATAAGCAACTTTTCAAGCCTCATTCAAGGAGATCATAAGCTGGCCTTGAATATTTTGGCACTTGAAGCAAAAATCTAACGTAAACAGTTGGGGTCACACGATAATCTCCTCAAGGTACTAAAGAGTGAGCTGGTTTATCACCCTGTTACACAAGGACATAAGAGTGGATCTGTTAATTTTTACAAAAACAAGCTTGTGAACTACTTTCAGAAGTAGTTATAGCTTTCAGAAGAGTGTAAGCCTCTAGATGGGGGAACATTGCCCTAAGTCAAAATCTCCAGACTGGGGCTGTCTTAATCAGCTTCCTGCTTATTCAATGTTACTGGTGCCTTTTATGGCAAGAAAGATAGTTGGAATTGACCTTGTTTGTGTATGTAAGCAAATGTTTTAACAATCTTTTCGGAGAAGTTAAAGAAAAAGCCCTGTCAGGTGCAGTTTCTCTAGGTCTAAAGCACTTCTGTTGGAGACAATTTGCACAGCCCATAGCTGTAGATGCACTCGGTGCAAGTTCCCCTCTAGCATGATCTGTAAGTGCTGTCGATCAAATGAGAAAATATTATGTGTCATAAGTTGCAAGGAGACAGAGTAGAATTGTAACATCCTTAGTTCATCTTCGACATTGCAAAACAAAGAAAACACATTTTCCTACTAGTGACTAACCACATCTTTATAGCTTCAGAAATGGAAATCACTTGTGAGGAAATTACATATGATCCACATGCTGCATTATAGATGACATATCCAGAACTGACTAGAAGGAACTATTCCTGCATCATTAAAGGACAAGAAGGAATTTAAGCTAGTAGCCAATACATATTGTTTTTTTTAGCTATGTTCAATCTTATCACATATAAGATCCAAGGATTCTTCTCTATAGCTGCCAGAAATAAATCCTGGGCATACTTCAGTGTTTTAAAAATACAAACAACAGAATCCTACCAAGTAAGCCACAATTCAGGCTGTCCAAACTTCCTTCCTTCCAGATATGGTAACTTCAGCTCCCTGAACATCATCAGGACACAAGAAAAAAATGCACTAAGTAATGCCCCATTTTATCTTAATTCATTTCAGTGCCTACTATGTAAATCTCAGACCACAGATACAGAAATATCCAATACAATGTATACATATTTGCATTCAAAAGGAAGTCCTACTGATATCAGTAAAGCAATCTGACAATAATCCAGTATGCACAAGATCACAGCTTTTAAAGGAAATCCAACATAATGTAAATAGGAAAAGGACAATTCCTGGGGCCTTCCAAAATCTCTCCAGAGGGTGAGCCAATCAAACTCTGGAGGTTATGATGTATATCCAGGGGAAAGGGGAAGTTGCCTAAAATAAGGGCATAATAATAGGAGTTCTTTAAACAAAGCTTCCACTACAGCCTTATAAAATAAAGCTAATAATACTTTATAACATCCCACTCCTCTGAAAGTGAGCAGGAGGAGGAAGGAAATAAATGCATGTTCTACACTCTTCCCTTCTACTCACAGAACACTTATTGTTATGCCTCATCTTCAGGGAATTGCGTTTAAAAAAGAGGGAAGAGGAAAGACCTTGATATGTCCTTTATTTTTTTTAAAGTCATCGCTAGAGGATATTCATGATAAAAGGAGGTAGACCATGCTGCCACTACAAAAGCTTATCTTGTTCAACCTGCTATTACACGTAGGTGACTCTGCATGTGTTAGCATACAAGACAAAAGATAGTTAAATCAACAAAGTGTTAATACTCTTTGATGATATCTGGAATTCTTTTGCTTATCTTGAGCAGTCATAAGAAAATCAAAACCCAAACTCAACAAGGTTGCAGACAGTGATATCCAGAAATCTCTGCCTTGCTCCCATTCAGTGTTGCTCCAAATAAGGTTATCCCTGGGGCAGGGTCAAAAAAAGACAAGAGGGCAAGCACCCATGGGATAAAGCCTTGTCCCTTCCTAATGTGTGCCACATTAGAGTGGACCTTCAATTGTGCAGTGCACCAGCTTGACTTTTCTGATAAACACTCCACCCTGATCCCCTGGCTCTGAGACAATCTTTTTAGCTGTCTTCAAGCCCTGTTGCCTTCAGTCCTCATATAACCTACCCCAAATGCCCAAAGGCCATACCTGACAGACACTGGGCTGGGGAAGGCTGGCTTAATAAAGCAACCACATTTGACTCACTGGACTTAAGAAGAATTTCAGGAATTAAGAACTGTTAAGCAATGGATCAGCCTATCCTAGATCATCAGTGGGCTTCCTCTTGCTGGAGGTTTTCAAATGTAATCCTGCACTCAGCACTGAGTTGACTTATAAGATCCGTTCAAATTGTTACATTTCATGATTCTGTGTAATACTTACTACATCTTCCAGGTGCCAATATTGGGATTAAATTTGTCTTCCTCGTGTATTTTAGTTATTTAATTATATTTATCAACCACTTTCTTACTTGCATCAGCATTTATGGTAGCTACAACTAAATAAACAAAAAATATAAAAATTTAAAAGATAAAAATCAATGCAATTAAAATCAGGTATAATAGCTTCCACGTTGCTGTAACAAACGAACAAATAAACTTGCTCCCTTATCAAAGTGCACCTGGCCCCTGGTTTCAACAAGCCAACAAAACCTTCCTTGGGGAATGAAGCAAGACATCTTATTCTTTCTCCTTATTCCCATTTTCAACTTTATTGTGCCTGGCTTTTTGGTCCAGCTCACGGTCAACCTTTCTGGCAGCGGGTGTGCTTGGTACTCTCCCTTGGTATTTGCCAGGGTCTAAGGAACAAAAGCCGTCACCTTTTCTGCTTCTTCTCGACTCATTGCCAGGGCAAGCTGGAGCTGGAGCTCCTCTTCACCAGTAGTCTGTGGCCTTGCCTGCTCCAGGTCAGAGCTGAACCGAGGAGATGATGAAGAAGCTGAAGCCAAAGACAAAAAAAAAACACAACCAATTAGGAGGGCAAGTAGAATGAAAGCCATCCAAAGTATGCTCTGAAAGAAAGCCCAGTTGGTTCTACAGTGCTTTCTCAGAAAATCGGTGCACAGTCATTGGTGATTAGGTTAGCTACAGAAGCTCCCCTATAAGTTATCAGTTAATTATTAATAACAATTTATTAAATATACATGCCACCCAGCTCTCAGTGACTCTTGAGTTGTCTAGCATGAGCACTCTGAATCCTGCCTCACTGAACAGAGAGAAAGATGGAGAGAGAGAGACAGGCTAAGACAGTGGTTCTCAACCTTTTTAATGCCGCGACCCCAACCGGTCGTAAGTCGAGGACTAAACCGGTCGTAAGTTGAGGACTAAACCGGTCGTAAGTCAAGGACTACCCAACCGGTCGTAAGTCGAGGACTTTCCCTGCCCGGGAGCGCCGCACATGCGTGGTTCCGCCCCCTGCGCCAGCCGAGGCGTAGCTGGCAAGCGGCAGAGACCGAGCAGGCCGACCACCAGCTGGCCCAGCCCAAGGGAGTTAAGGCACTTGCCAGAAAAGGGGGAAAAAATGGCGGACAAAAAAAATGGCGGACAAAAAAAATGGCGGACAGCCTTGCTTGGCGACCCCCATGAAATGGTCGATCGACCCCAAATGGGGTCCCGACCCACAGGTTGAGAACCACTGGGCTAAGAGAAAGAAGAGTGGGAGACAGAGGATTGAAAGATGGATGGTCACAAGAGTCTATGGAGATTCTCAGTCATAGTTATCCGAAATGTGCTTTTTCATGAGGCAACTGGACTTTCTTGGTTTTCTTTGAAGACATTTTGCTTCTCATCCAAGAAGCTGAAGAAGAATATTTTTCTTCAAAGAAATGCTGCCCTCGAGAGAAAAACAGTCCTCCATTCTGTCCTAAAAATGTTTTTTTCAATTATCTCTTTCTGTGCTGATGGTTGTCTCCATTTTCTGCCTACCAACCTTCTGTGTTTTAATTTCATATGATGTCCAACAGTCGAAGGCTATGACTAACCCACATGCGGTGGGGGGGGGGGGAAATGAAGTTACATTTTATTTTGAAAACTCCAATCCACTTGTGTTTCTATAGCAACATTTTCCTTGAGTTTGGTGTGAGGAACAAAAAACAAAGTACATTGGTACCGCTGCACGAAGGTTCGAATCAGTGGCATGTGCAGGGTGTTGCTGGTGTTTTCAGCAGGGTTATAGGGTCAGAGCACAAGCCCTACTCCTTTGGGTCATACTTGTGATGTTGTGAGGCACATAGAAAAAACACCAGCCTTTGCTACAATGCTGAGGTTTAGTTAGTCTAATCCCCTTTCCCCAACCACACAGATGACACTGTTCCTAAAATTCTGTCAGGAACGGTGTAGGATTTAAGGCCCATATGCCTAAAAATGTGTTCTCCTAGGCTCAAAGGATGGAGTTTTTTTCAACATCTGGCATGCTAATACTGCTAGTGATATTTTTTTCCCCACATCCACATCAAAGGCATTGAATTAAAATGCAATTCTCTGTTAATTTATTCAGATGGCAACCCCACTTCTAAGGGCTTTCTTCTAGTCATGTACTTTTACCTCAGAAGCCTCACTGAATATATTCACAATAACTTCTAAACAAAAAAAAAATGTTAATAACAGCCACTCAAGGAATCTAGGAACTCAGACATTTCAATATCCACAATTTTCTATAAGATGCATGGTAGAAGTGGTTAAGTATAAAACTGATGGTTTTGTACACTATATAGAAATACTGAGCACTAAAGTGGCATTTTTAAAAATTAAACTTTTTGCAAGCTTACTACTTACTTAGCTTGCAAAAATTCAACAACTGCAATCCTGCAAGATGAATATGCCCTTGCTTATTTTAATGACTACATCAGCATCTGCTCAAATTCACTGTTCTGAATGTCTTGTTTATTTTTCAATTAATAACACTGTACAGTACTGGAATGTACAGCCTTTTTGAGTGGCAGTGGTGTTGCAAGGATTAAAGTCATGGCCCAGGCCTTTACTTCAAGCCCAGCATCACCACTGCCTCCAAGTGCTGCTTTTCGGGGTGGTCTAGATGGGGGAAAGGGGGGCGTAGGAGATGCTTCTCTTTTGTTCAAGAAGGTGTGACACACCAGCAGAATCAAGTTAGGCCTTTTCTAAATTTTTGACACGCCGAGCCCAAAAGGTTCGTCATCACTGCCCTAGATATATAGAATTCTCAGCAAACCCAGCTAACACAAGGGGTAAAGGATGGTAAAAGTTGCTGGAAATCTTAAGTTATATACTACCTAGATCAGTGGTTCTCAACTGGGTTGGGACCCCATTTGGGGTCGATCGACCATTTCACGGGGGTCGCCAAGCAAGGCTGTCCGCCATTTTTTTTGTCCGCCATTTTTTTTGTCCGCCATTTTTTTCCCCTTTTCCGGCAGGTGCCTTACCTCCCTTGGGCTAGGCCAGCTGGTGGTCGGCCTGCTCCGTCTCTGCCGCTTGCCAGCTACCCCTCGGCCGGCGCAGGGGGCGGAACCACGCATGCGCGGTGCTCCCGGGCAGGGAAAGTCCTCGACTTACGACCGGTTGGGTAGTCCTCAATTTACGACCGGTTTAGTCCTCAACTTACGACCGGTTTAGTCCTCGACCTACGACCGGTTGGGGTCGCGGCATTAAAAAGGTTGAGAACCACTGACCTAGATAGCCATGTACTCTTCTTATAATTTGGCCTTCTGAAAGCTTTCAAAAAGGCAAAATGATAGGGCTGTACACCATGATGCTTCCCTATTCAATCTTATATTCTCTATGTGATCCAGAGAGCTTCAAGTGGAAATATATGTAACTTTGTTCTGCTAAATATACAGTACTTTTAGATTCTTACAGGATCAGGGAATCCAACTTATTAGGATTTATCTAGGATTCTTTGATTGAATGAAACTACACTTTATATCAAGGTTGTAAAAGCAATGTAAAGACTTATAAAAATTCTGCTTAATGATAGTAGAAACAGTGAAGGTTTGGCTGTGGATTCATAAAGGACACTGGGGGAAATGTCAAGGAATAAAGGAAATCTACATACTTGGGACAGTTTCTATCTATGGGCCTTTTGAATCTGTGCCCATTCCTACTATCAGCAATCTGTGTCCCTCAAATATTACTTAGTACTTGCCAGGTTTCATTTCTCAAGCTCCATTGCGATAAATGGTAGAAATTTGGAAACATTTCAGTCAGTGTTGCAAACAATTGCCTCCAAAAGCATATGCTTTTATCTTTACATTGCAGTGTATTGCAACTGCTGGTCAAGATGTCCATGAACTTTACTACAGGATCACCAGCCCCCATGAAAGCATTCACAAATTAGATTATACATTTTCAAGGTTTGTTTGTTTTTTTTTGCCAAAGATGACTTGATCTGTCGGAGAAAAGGTGACACAGCCATATACCATTGCAGTACTCACAATTAAAGGAGGATGGAGAACCTCTTGATCTGCTGTAGTCATCGCCATACTGTGATGCCCGCCGTCCATAGGCCAGCTGGTGGCTGTTGCTGTTGCTGCTGCTAATGCCCATACCTTCAATGGACATCCGTTCTTTGGTTTTCAAGGCGTAGGTTCTCTCCTGCTTCAGCCTCTCTTCATCCTTTAGTAAGCTCATCACCTGCTTCACTTTTTCACGAACGTTGATGCCTTGATCTTTGCCATCACGGTCTATGTACTGGAACTCCTTTAAAGTCTGAATGGTATACAGATTCTCACGGCACTGATGAGCCACCTTCTCTGAGCCTGTTTTAATGAGGTAGTCTAGAAGAGTCAGGGCCTTGTAGACATGACGCCAGTTCTTGCCACTGTCATTCAGCCGTCTCCAGATCATACCCATGACCTCGGCAAAAGCCACTGTGTTGAAGGTCAGGTCAGCAATCTCAGACATTAAAGAGCTGGGGGGTCCCCAAGGATCATTGGAGGTGGCCTCACGCACCTTGATTTCTGCCTCAGAATAATTGTGCACAATGTTTTTCACCTGTCGACGCAAGGCAGAGGTCGTCATGGCTGAACCTGAAAAAAGACCTCACCTTGCAGAAAGAAATGATCCAAAGAAGAAAACTTGAGAGGCCCCAGGGAAGAATCAAAGCTTCAGAGTGATTGGTTAAGAAGTGCTAATTCTTCAGTTTCTACAATGAGCTAGAAAACAAATAATGGAAACTCTATTAAAATTATTATTCAGTTCAGCCATTTTAGCTGATCAGTTGTTTTATTCTATCCAGTCAGGGGAAAAAATGCATTTCTTCCTTTCTATCCCTCACCCTCTGCTCAATTTTTCTATTTTATGTTATTTCTTCAAAACCTAGAGCCGTTCCAGATAGTTCTAAGCCAGCCATGAGTTATTCAGCTAGAGTATTTGGGTAAAATTTATATAAGAAACTCCTTTAGTTCCTGAAATACTTCTATGCTAATTTTTTTCTGAGTACAATTACGGCATGGTGGACATATTGCAGTGCCATCTAAATTTACTTTTGTCACGTTGAGGGTCATACAGTACACCAAAAATGTGGGACCAAGCGCTGCGGTTCTGGAGAGATTTGAAGGGTTTTAAAGAGGAAATGAATGTTTTAAGCCTCTGCATTTCTTCTACCTTTTATCTCCACCCAGTAAAAACCTTCAAAAATGCATGGTTAGAAAGTAAATAGGCAGCCTATGTTAGTTTTGGTAATATATTATCTCATGATTATGGTTTTTTTTAACACCCAGTCTTTTCCCCAAGAGCTTATCTTAATTCACATAGTGGTCTCTCCTTCCTCCCCATAACAGTCCTACATGGTGGGCTGAGAAAAAGAAATGTTCACAGTTATCCAAGGAACTTCAAGATTGAGTAAATGAGGATGCAAATCTAGATGTCACCAGCCCAAATTCAGCCCCTTAGCCACTATGTTACCATGGCCTTCAGCCTGGTGGGCCATATTATTATTGAACTGTATTTCATGAGCAACTATAGTGGGAAAAATCTTTCTGAAAGAAGATAAGAAAATAGCAAGTGCTTGATGTTACAGAAATACATATCAGGAAATCCTGGGCTGTGTACCTCGACAAGGTCAAGTACTGTATAAGCAGTGATATGCTGAAGCCAGCCCATACTAGTTCATGAAAGCCAATGGTTATATTTTTTTGGAATTTTGCAAGTCATGTGGATCAGCTATTTGGTGGCTAGCAAGATAGGGAAGTGGCAGCAATGGACCAGAACTGGTTGTTATACATTTATTGGCACATCATTGTACTGTACATAACAGCTTTCTTTCATAGTAGGCAGTCTTAGAAAGAATAATTATATTATCCACCAAAAGAGATCTACGTGCCAAACTAAGGATCCATCTGTGCAAAGAGCAGGCTGTGAATAAACACTGCCATTTACAGTATGATCAAGGTCTCACTGAAATGATTGAACACATTTCTGCTTCAAATAGGAATGCCAATCTTTATCTGAAGCCCTTTCTTCATATTGTGAAAGCTGGATGAAAGCATTTTATGTTTTTCTACTTTAGGTTTTTCTGAGTAAAGTGGATAAGATACCCCAAATAATTTGGAATCAGGTTTACAGGTAGTTAATAGACATCACACCAAATCATACCAAACCAATCTTATCTCATTCTTTGATAAGGTGACCAAACTAGTATACCAGCGAAATGCAGTGGACATAGTATACCTAAATTTCAGTAAGGCATTTGACAAAGTGGACCACAACCCACTCCTTGGTAAGCTAGAAAAAGGTGGAATAGACAACATCACTACCAAATGGATCTGTAGCTGGCTGACAAACCGTACTCAACAAGTAGTCCTCAACGGCACTACATCCACATGGAGAGAAATAAGCAGTGGGATACCACAAGGTTCCATTTTAGGCCCAGTACTCTTCAACATCTTCATAAATGACTTAGACGAGGGAATGGAAGAGGAACTCATCAAATTTGCAGATGACACCAAACTATCAGGAATAGCCAACACTCCAGAAGACAAACTCAGGATCCAAAAAGATCTTGAGAAAGTCGAACAATGGGCCCTATCCAACAAAATGAGTTTCAACGTGGAGAAAAGCAAAGTCTATACTTAGGCAGGAAAAACCAAAGGCACGAATACAGATTGGGCAAGACCTGGCTTAAAAACAGTAACTGTGAGAGGGACCTTGGAGTCCTAGTGGATGATCACTTGACTATGAGCCAGCAGTGTGCAGCAGCAACCAAAAAAGCTAATACAGTCCTGGGTTGTATAAACAGAGGCATAGAACCAAGATCACACAAAGTACTAGCACCGCTTACAAAGCCCTAGTAAGACCACACCTGGAATATTGTAGCCAATTCTGGTCACCATATCACAAAAAAGATGTTGAGGGTTTGGAAAAAATTCGGAGAAGAGCAACTAGGATGATCAAAGGCCTGGAGGCTAAAACATACAAAGAACAGCTGCAAGACTTGGGTTTGGCTAGTCTAAAGAAAAGAAGAAACGGGAGACATGATAGCGGTGTTTCAGTATCTGAGCGGCTGCCACAAGGCAGAAGGGGTCAGGTTGTTCACCAGAGCACCAGAGGGAAGGACAAGAAACAATGGCTGGAAACTGATCAAGGAAAGAAGCAACCTGGATCTAAGGAGAAACTTCCTGACAGTGAGGACAATCAACCAGTGGAACAGCTTACCCCCAGAAATCGTGGGCACTCCATCACTGGAAATTTTTAAGAAGAGACTGGACAATCATCTGTCAGAGAGGGTATAGGTTCTCCTGCTTGAGCAGGGGGCTGGACTAGAAGACCTCCAAGGTCCCTTCCAGCTCTATTCTATTCTATTCTATTCTATTCTATTCTATTCTATTAATTTGGCATCTATATAATTCAACATAGCACACATGTTGTGAGTATATATTTCATGATACTTGTTTTACTTTACAAATCTACAGTATCTGAGAACAAAACAAAAACATATATTCATATTTCCTTAATGTAAAACAAAAATGAATTATAATTTACAAAAACAAGATAATATTTTAAACTCATCATCTTTTATTGATAAAAGGGCTAAATTTACTATGGACATTTTTCAAATAAGAAGACAGATGAGTGAGAAAAGGTTGTTTTTTTTAACCTTTCCTCACTGGTCAAGGTCAAACTTCCCTATATATTCTACAGTTCTCAGCTTTCATCAAGCAGCTGTAGGACATGGAACTATGGAAGGCTGTATTAAATGTCTTACTAGCCTGGCACATTTTTACTTGACCTAGTAAAATACATAAGAATTACATCTAAATACTATAGGGTAAAAGGAATCATATTCCCCATTTTTGTCTTCGAGTTAGCTCTACTGTAATTTGATTACTTTCTCTGTATCTCTGACTTCTGAATATCCATTAAAATAAAAACTTCAGTTGCCATTTCTCATTTCTTTCAAGCTACATGACTCAATAGATAGAGATGATAACTGTGCAGCTCCCCCCCAACACACACACACACATACAAGCACATGCTACCTATTGAATTTTATGGAAATCAACAATGAGATCATGAATTCATACAAGCATCGTTGTAATGGAAGTGACAGGAGATTCTGTACCACTGCCAATAACTCAGCCTTACTGAAAAACGTATCCTTAGGTTTTCCCAACTGCTAAATTTCAAGTGTTTTTCGGTGTATTTGAATCTTGTTAAAATAAAACACTAAATGATGCACAATATAACCAAAAGCATGTTAAACCCTCACATACCAGCAATAAGATAAAATCAGTTAATACACACAATCAAATTAAGAATGGCACTGATGTTCATTTCCAAAACTTTGTTAGAACAGCCAAATCTTGAGTAGTTTCATGACGTTTACCAGGGTCATATATCTCAGGTGAGAACTTATTTCACAATATCAGAGCAGCAATAAAGAAGTGCTGCTTCTGATCACTCTTCATATCCCCACCCAAGGATACACAGATTTTTATATGCACATACATGCATTAGATGTCCTAAGCAAGGATTGATAGCTTTGTCCCTTTTTTTTCAAAGTTATAGGTCAGTGGTGGCGAACCTATGGCACGCGTGCCAGAGGCGGCACTCAGAGCCCTCTCTGTGGGCATGCACGCCATGCCCTGGAGATGGCAATCGTCCCTCTTCAACCAGCCGCCTGCTAACTCACCGAGGTCCTACATGGCCGGATGCATCCCAGCACCCATGCGCTTGCTGGCCTCTGTGTGCAGGGGCCAATGGTGTCAGGCAGCAGCCGCCCTGGCCCCTGCCTCACCTTGCCCTGTGACAATGGCACCTCCGCCCTGCCTCGCCTTGCCTCGCCTCACCCTGCAGAAAGAGCCTCCTGCCCACCGCCCCACCTGCCAGAGACCCCCTGGATCTCCTCCAACCCTGCCCGGCCCCCACAGGCGTCCCACCCCACGAGCAACATCAAGGTGATCATGCCCACCTTGGCCACACCCACCCAATCTGCCATGACCACCACAGCCACGCCCACCCAGTGGGCCACGCCCACCTGGCACCCAGCAATAAATGTGGGGTTTGGGTTGCAGTTTGGCCACTCGGTCTCTAAAAGGTTCGCCAACACTGTTATAGGTAGTACATTGGATGTGAAGAACCATTCAGTTGTTGCTGCTTGAAGAAGGTGCTAAGTAAACATACTGGGGTTCTTGGATTTTTTTAAAAAAAGCAAAATAGATGTACTAAGCTCCCAGTAAATGTGATGGATTTATTTTATTTTTTAACAAATCTAAAAGGCCTGCACAGGAAAAACTGAAAATTCCAGTTTCACGCTGTCT